ATCTTTGAACCAGGTCATTGTGGCAAGATGGACATGTTGTTTTGTGCAAGACACTCATCGACATGGAAAAGCCGTGTTATTGGAAGATGGTTGCTTTGTATCTTCATCAAAATAAAAAAAAATGTTTTATTATTGTAAGTTGATTAAATTGATTCTTATGAGGAACATATAGCTATTTTATTACCATGGAGTTTTTCTTCGGGACATGAATATTCCGGATTGAATTTCCAATGCGGGTTTTGATTTTTTGGGGAGAATTTAATTATGTGAGTGCTGTTTATGAAAGATGTGCCTGTGGATATTGCTCTTTTGTAGATGTTGTGCAGTGATTGATGACTTCTTGATACTTTTTCCCAACCATGGGATTCGGGGTCAGAATTACGTCCCCAGCACCCACGTCTGTTGTTAAAGTCGACTGGTATTGTTTGTCTGATCACAGTGTGTGAACTGGCAGATTGTGTTTCATTGCACTTGGATTTGTTTAAAGAATAAAATCGTTCCAAAAAATAATTTTAGAAAATAATTTTGTGCCAAGTTTCACAAGAAAAATAATTGTTCAATGGCCATGCTTGAGGACCTGGAAAAAAGGGTGTTGTTTGTCCTTTCAGCCCTTAAAATACTCTTAAACTTGGGTCAAACAATCAAATCTTCAGTTGCCTGGACTATATTTTGTAAATGCAATTACAAACTTGCTGCAACGTCTTCTGTTACCGTAGTATGTGTTGAATTAACTGTACAATGTCCACAGAAAGAAGTATAGAATGTTTTAAGACAAAAAAAGAAGTACAAATTTGTTGAACTGAAGATATTTGTTGATTCCCTACACAACCATTTAAAAGAATACACCACCATTGAACACACCACCATTGAACATGTCACACTACCATTGAACATGTCACACCACCACTGAACATGTCACACCACCACTGAACATGTCACACAACCATTGAACATGTCACACCACATTGAACATGTCACATCACCATTGAACATGTCACACCACCATTGAACATGTCACATCACCATTGAACATGTCACACCACAATTGAACACACCACCATTGAACATGTCACACCACATTGAACATGTCACACCACATTGAACATGTCACATCACCATTGAACATGTCACACCACCATTGAATATGTCACATCACCATTGAACATGTCACACCACATTGAACACACCACCATTGAACATGTCACACCACATTGAACATGTCACACCACATTGAACATGTCACATCACCAATGAACATGTCACACCACATTGAACATGTCACATCACCATTGAACATGTCACACCACATTGAACACATCACCATTGAACATGTCACATCACCATTGAACATGTCACACCGCCATTGAACATGTCACATCACCATTGAACATGTCACATCACCATTGAACATGTCACACCACCACTGAACATGTCACACCACCATTGAACATGTCGCACCACCATTGAACATGTCACACCACATTGAACATGTCACACTGCCATTGAACATGTCACACCACCATTGAACATGTCGCACCACCATTGAACATGTCACACCACATTGAACATGTCACACTACCATTGAACACATCACCATTGAACATGTCACACCACATTGAACATGTCACACCACTATTGAACATGTCACACCACCATTGAACATGTCACATCACCATTGAACATGTCACACCACCATTGAACACACCACCATTGAACATGTCACACCATATTGAACATGTCACACCACATTGAACATGTCACATCACCATTGAACATGTCACACCACATTGAATATGTCACATCACCATTGAACATGTCACACCACCACTTAACATGTCACATCACCATTGAACATGTCACACCACATTGAACATGTCACATCACCATTGAACATGTCACACCACATTGAACATGTCACATCACCATTGAACATGTCACATCACCATTGAACATGTCACATCACCATTGAACATGTCACATCACCATTGAACATTGAACATTTTACAATCACATTAAAGAACTTTGAACGTGTCAAACATTCCGATAAATTGATTGTGTCCTACACATTTTATGAGGGAGAAAGTACACTATCATGTCATCTTGGAAATGAAACTATTTTAAGATATTTTCATTTAGACTGCCTTTTAATAAATAATATATAAGAGCCTAGAGAATCTCTTCAAACTAAAGAAATATAGACATGGTAAAGAACTATAGATTTGCTTGGTAGTTTCGGAGATGTTTCAATGTCTGTATAAGAGATGAAGGCAGTTTGTTGAAGCACTCCTACAAGCCCTGCATGGTAGATCCGACATTTAGCATCAATTGTTATTTTCCCAGGGGCTTGGCATTGAATCAAATACTCTCTTCTTCCTCTACCATAAATATTTAGCTTACTGTGTTGAGAAGTGCTCAAAAGTCGTTAGCTTTTTAATGAGGTTAAAAAGCGCAACAATTTGCGATGTGTTTAACCTGTCAGGAGTGCTATTTTGTGTATATTGAGAAGGATTGCTTAGCATTACATATCACATTTCACAGGTAATACTGTTTCCCCAACAACTACTACCAAGCAGCTTTTCCTCTGTTTTTCAAAAATGATGAAATGCTCGTGGAATTTGTTTATAGTATAAACACTCCAGACAGAAATATACCATCCCGGTAATCCAGTTATAGCACAGGCCTTCTTTGTTATGTGCCAGTGATGATTTAGTCATACACATATTCAAAATACAACTCATGAGTTTTCTTCTTTATGATGGGTTGTCGTGCATTTTTTGCAGCCATAACACAACATAATATAACAGTGGACAAACCTGTTGTCTTGTCCAAGGGCTGTTTGTGTTGTGCTAAGACATACATTGTCGAACACCTCGACCACACTTGTTAGTGTTGTGGCGCCTTAGTGCTCTCAATCACTGAAGATGATAAAAGATATGTTGTTTTTTTTCCTATCATGTACTGATGTAAGAAAGTGTGCTCTTGTGTTGAAGGCATTCCCAGTTTATAATAACATGGAAGAAAGAGAGGAATATTTAGCCATGGATATTTTGTTTCATCAGTGAAATCTTAAATTATTAGACTTTTATGATTGATGGAAAGTGCCAGTGTGCTTGCTTAATGCATGTACAGTTTCATGTTTTGAGAAATTGTGTGATATGTTTTGCAAACAAAGGAATGGAGATATGGAGTTGACTGGTCTGTGTATACTGTCTTAGCATCTCTGTTGAGGGGAAGACCATGTCATGGCCATTGATCAGCTGACTGGAAGTTCACTGAGAATGTATGCTTGACTAGCCCTGGGGACAACAAATGCAGATATAGATGGTTGCTTTTATGTTTAGACAAGTGTCACTCAGTTATTAAGGGTACATGGTGTGGGGTCACTGTTATTAAGGGTACATGGTGTGGGGTCATTGTTATTAAGGGTACATGGTGTGGGGTCACTGTTATTTAGGGTACATGGTGTAGGGTCACTGTTATTAAGGGTACATGGTGTAGGGTCACTGTTATTTAGGGTACATGGTGTGGGGTAATTGTTATTTAGGGTACATGGTGTGGGGTCATTGTTATTAAGGGTACATGGTGTAGAGTCACTGTTATTAAGGGTACATGGTGTGGGGTCACTGTTATTTAGGGTACATGGTGTGGGATCACTGTTATTAAGGGTACATGGTGTGGGGTCATTGTTATTAAGGGTACATGGTGTAGAGTCACTATTATTAAGGGTACATGGTGTGGGGTCATTGTTATTGAGGGTACATGGTGTGGGGTCACTGTTATTAAGGGTACATGGTGTGGGGTAATTGTTATTTAGGGTACATGGTGTGAGGTAATTGTTATTTAGGCTACATACTGTAGGGTGATTGTTATTAAGGGTACATGTAGTAGGGTCACTGTTATTAAGATTTCTTGGCTTCAGACAATGAGTGAGTTAAGTGAGTTAAGATTTAACGTCACATCGGCAGTATTTCAGACAATGAACCCATGACGGGAATCAGTGTGCTTTGACCACTAACTACTCCGCCTTCCTGTAAAGTCCTAGAATGACAGATAACTTGCTGTATTACTGAATGGTGGTGGTGTTATCTCCCCTTATGACATATCTCACTTATGACTTGTTATCTTCCATTTACATGAATCTTGAAATGTGCCTCTGACCCAAAATGTCACAATAAACATCACTTGTTTGTAAACATAACAGTCAGTACTTTGTGAGTTCAACTCCAAGTAAGGTTGTGGCCACCTAGCACAGTGGCAGAGATAGCATAGAGAGCTCCACGAACGGGCTTTCACTGTGAGGACCCTGCTTGTTATCTCCCCTGATGACTTGTTATCTCCCCTGATGACTTATCTCCCCTGATGAATTATCTCCCCCAAGCTCCTTCCCAGCGCGTGACACCTTCGTTACACTCTCGGTAACATCGCTGCCACCAGTGTGGGCGCGGCCATTACAAGAATCTTGAAATATGCCCTCTAACCCCAAATGTAGTAACGTTTATACTTTTGTTTATGTCTTTGGGAATGCCATCATATTTCAATTTGAAAAGGTTTACGACTGACCATGTTTTCCAGATGAATTTACTTTGTTGTTTTGATAATCAGATTGGTTCGAGATTGCAGACTAACGGAAAACCAACCAACTTCTCCCTTACATTCTTACTATATCAATAACACGATAGTTTTAATGAAACAGAAATTCAAATTGACAAACGAAGAAAGAAATTTAGCAGTTATAAGTGTATTCGGCGTCACGACAGTCGTCACTTGTTTGTAAACATAATGGTCATTGGGTTGCGAGTTCAACTCCAAGCATGGTTGTGGCCACCTATTCACAGTGGGGAGTTTTGACTGGTGGCAGCGATAGTATAGAGAGCTCCGGGAACGTACTATCGCTGTGAGGAGCTTGTTATCTCCCCTGGTGACTTATCTCCCCTGATGACTTGTTATCTCCCCTGATGACTTGTTGTCTCCCCTGATTGCATGTTATTTCAATGTTACAGACTGTGGGCTGATGTCTTCCGTGTCCATGGAGACGGCGAGTACATGCGATGGCAGCGTGTGTCTGATGACGTCGTCCCCATCAACATCACCTGCATCGAAGACAACCCGAATACTATCTTTCAGATAACTGCCTACAATCGGCAGGTGGAGAAGATCTTCGATGTCAAAATCATACAACCAGGTAAGTCGGGGTGCTTCACTGTAACAAGGTGTAACATTTGGAAAGTTGCACCGGTAACTCTTGATCTCGCTCACTGTAACAAGGGGCCAAGTTTGGAATGTTGCACAACTACCTCTTGATCTCGCTCGCTGTAACAAGGGGCCAAGTTTGGAATGTTGCACAGCAACCTCTTGATCTTGCTCACTGTAACAAGGGGCCAAGATTGGAATGTTGTACAGCTACCTCTTGATCTCGCTCACTGTAACAAGGGGCCAAGTTTGGAATGTTGCACAGGTACCTCTTGATCTCACTCACTGTAACAAGGGGCCAAGTTTGGAATGTTGTACAGCTACCTCTTGATCTCGCTCACTGTAACAAGGGGCCAAGTTTGGAATGTTGCACAACTACCTCTTGATCTCGCTCACTGTAACAAGGGGCCAAGTTTGGAATGTTGCACAGCTATCTCTTGATCTCGCTCACTGTAACAAGGGGCCAAGTTTGGAATGTTGCACAACTACCTCTTGATCTCACTAACTGTAACAAGGAACCAAGTTTGGAATGTTGCACAGCTATCTCTTGATCTCGCTCACTGTAACAAGGGGCCAAGTTTGGAATGTTGCACAACTACCTCTTGATCTCGCTCACTGTAACAAGGGACCAAGTTTGGAATGTTGCACAACTACCTCTTGATCTCGCTCACTGTAACAAGGGGCCAAGTTTGGAATGTTGCACAACTACCTCTTGATCTCGCTCACTGTAACAAGGGGCCAAGTTTGGAATGTTGCACAACTACCTCTTGATCTCGCTCACTGTAACAAGGAACCAAGTTTGGAATGTTGCACAGCTATCTCTTGATCTCGCTCACTGTAACAAGGGGCCAAGTTTGGAATGTTGTACAACTACCTCTTGATCTCGCTCACTGTAACAAGGGGCCAAGTTTGGAATGTTGCACAACTACCTCTTGATCTCGCTCACTGTAACAAGGAACCAAGTTTGGAATGTTGCACAGCTATCTCTTGATCTCGCTCACTGTAACAAGGGGCCAAGTTTGGAATGTTGTACAACTACCTCTTGATCTCGCTCACTGTAACAAGGGGCCAAGTTTGGAATGTTGCACAACTACCTCTTGATCTCGCTCACTGTAACAAGGAACCAAGTTTGGAATGTTGCACAGCTAACTCTTGATCTCGCCCACTGTAACAAGGGACCAAGTTTGGAATGTTGCACAGCTATCTCTTGATCTCACTCACTGTAACAAGGGGCCAAGTTTGGAATGTTGCACAACTACCTCTTGATCTCACTCACTGTAACAAGGGACCAAGTTTGGAATGTTGCACAGCTATCTCTTGATCTCGCTCACTGTAACAAGGGGCCAAGTTTGGAATGTTGTACAGGTACCTCTTGATCTCGCTCACTGTAACAAGGGGCCAAGTTTGGAATGTTGTACAGATAACTCTTGATCTCGCTCACTGTAACAAGGGGCCAAGTTTGGAATGTTGCACAGCTACCTCTTGATCTCGCTCACTGTAACAAGGGGCCAAGTTTGGAATGTTGTACAGCTACCTCTTGATCTTGCTCACTGTAACAAGGGGCCAAGTTTGGAATGTTGTACAGGTACCTCTTGATCTCACTCACTGTAACAAGGGGCCAAGTTTGGAATGTTGTACAGGTACCTCTTGATCTCACTCACTGTAACAAGGGGCCAAGTTTGGAATGTTGTACAGTTACCTCTTGATCTCACTCACTGTAGCAAGGGGCCAAGTTTGGAATGTTGTACAGCTACCTCTTGATCTCACTCACTGTAACAAGGGGCCATGTTTGGAATGTTGTACAGGTACCTCTTGATCTCACTCACTGTAACAAGGGGCCAAGTTTGGAATGTTGTACAGCTATCTCTTGATCTCGCTAACTGTAACAAGGGGCCAAGTTTGGAATGTTGTACAGCTACCTCTTGATCTTGCTCACTGTAACAAGGGGCCAAGTTTGGAATGTTGTACAGCTACCTCTTGATCTCGCTCACTGTAACAAGGAACCAAGTTTGGAATGTTTCACAACTACCTCTTGATCTCGCTAACTGTAACAAGGGGCCAAGTTTGGAATGTTGTACAGCTACCTCTTGATCTCACTCACTGTAACAAGGGGCCAAGTTTGGAATGTTTCACAACTACCTCTTGATCTCGCTAACTGTAACAAGGGGCCAAGTTTGGAATGTTGTACAGCTACCTCTTGATCTTGCTCACTGTAACAAGGGGCCAAGTTTGGAATGTTGTACAGGTACCTCTTGATCTCGCTCACTGTAACAAGGGGCCAAGTTTGGAATGTTGTACAGCTACCTCTTGATCTCGCTCACTGTAACAAGGAACCAAGTTTGGAATGTTTCACAACTACCTCTTGATCTCGCTAACTGTAACAAGGGGCCAAGTTTGGAATGTTGTACAGCTACCTCTTGATCTCACTCACTGTAACAAGGGGCCAAGTTTGGAATGTTTCACAACTACCTCTTGATCTCGCTAACTGTAACAAGGGGCCAAGTTTGGAATGTTGTACAGCTACCTCTTGATCTTGCTCACTGTAACAAGGGGCCAAGTTTGGAATGTTGTACAGGTACCTCTTGATCTCGCTCACTGTAACAAGGGGCCAAGTTTGGAATGTTGTACAGCTACCTCTTGATCTCGCTCACTGTAACAAGGGGCCAAGTTTGGAATGTTGTACAGCTACCTCTTGATCTCACTCACTGTAACAAGGGGCCAAGTTTGGAATGTTGCACAGCTATCTCTTGATCTCGCTCACTGTAACAAGGGGCCAAGTTTGGAATGTTTCACAACTACCTCTTGATCTCACTAACTGTAACAAGGAACCAAGTTTGGAATGTTGCACAGCTATCTCTTGATCTCGCTCACTGTAACAAGGGGCCAAGTTTGGAATGTTGCACAACTACCTCTTGATCTCGCTCACTGTAACACGGGGCCAAGTTTGGAATGTTGTACAACTACCTCTTGATCTCGCTCACTGTAACAAGGGGCCAAGTTTGGAATGTTGCACAACTACCTCTTGATCTCGCTCACTGTAACAAGGAACCAAGTTTGGAATGTTGCACAGCTATCTCTTGATCTCGCTCACTGTAACAAGGGGCCAAGTTTGGAATGTTGTACAACTACCTCTTGATCTCGCTCACTGTAACAAGGGGCCAAGTTTGGAATGTTGCACAACTACCTCTTGATCTCGCTCACTGTAACAAGGAACCAAGTTTGGAATGTTGCACAGCTAACTCTTGATCTCGCCCACTGTAACAAGGGACCAAGTTTGGAATGTTGCACAGCTATCTCTTGATCTCACTCACTGTAACAAGGGGCCAAGTTTGGAATGTTGCACAACTACCTCTTGATCTCACTCACTGTAACAAGGGACCAAGTTTGGAATGTTGCACAGCTATCTCTTGATCTCGCTCACTGTAACAAGGGGCCAAGTTTGGAATGTTGTACAGGTACCTCTTGATCTCGCTCACTGTAACAAGGGGCCAAGTTTGGAATGTTGTACAGATAACTCTTGATCTCGCTCACTGTAACAAGGGGCCAAGTTTGGAATGTTGCACAGCTACCTCTTGATCTCGCTCACTGTAACAAGGGGCCAAGTTTGGAATGTTGTACAGCTACCTCTTGATCTTGCTCACTGTAACAAGGGGCCAAGTTTGGAATGTTGTACAGGTACCTCTTGATCTCACTCACTGTAACAAGGGGCCAAGTTTGGAATGTTGTACAGGTACCTCTTGATCTCACTCACTGTAACAAGGGGCCAAGTTTGGAATGTTGTACAGTTACCTCTTGATCTCACTCACTGTAGCAAGGGGCCAAGTTTGGAATGTTGTACAGCTACCTCTTGATCTCACTCACTGTAACAAGGGGCCATGTTTGGAATGTTGTACAGGTACCTCTTGATCTCACTCACTGTAACAAGGGGCCAAGTTTGGAATGTTGTACAGCTATCTCTTGATCTCGCTAACTGTAACAAGGGGCCAAGTTTGGAATGTTGTACAGCTACCTCTTGATCTTGCTCACTGTAACAAGGGGCCAAGTTTGGAATGTTGTACAGCTACCTCTTGATCTCGCTCACTGTAACAAGGAACCAAGTTTGGAATGTTTCACAACTACCTCTTGATCTCGCTAACTGTAACAAGGGGCCAAGTTTGGAATGTTGTACAGCTACCTCTTGATCTCACTCACTGTAACAAGGGGCCAAGTTTGGAATGTTTCACAACTACCTCTTGATCTCGCTAACTGTAACAAGGGGCCAAGTTTGGAATGTTGTACAGCTACCTCTTGATCTTGCTCACTGTAACAAGGGGCCAAGTTTGGAATGTTGTACAGGTACCTCTTGATCTCGCTCACTGTAACAAGGGGCCAAGTTTGGAATGTTGTACAGCTACCTCTTGATCTCGCTCACTGTAACAAGGAACCAAGTTTGGAATGTTTCACAACTACCTCTTGATCTCGCTAACTGTAACAAGGGGCCAAGTTTGGAATGTTGTACAGCTACCTCTTGATCTCACTCACTGTAACAAGGGGCCAAGTTTGGAATGTTTCACAACTACCTCTTGATCTCGCTAACTGTAACAAGGGGCCAAGTTTGGAATGTTGTACAGCTACCTCTTGATCTTGCTCACTGTAACAAGGGGCCAAGTTTGGAATGTTGTACAGGTACCTCTTGATCTCGCTCACTGTAACAAGGGGCCAAGTTTGGAATGTTGTACAGCTACCTCTTGATCTCGCTCACTGTAACAAGGGGCCAAGTTTGGAATGTTGTACAGCTACCTCTTGATCTCACTCACTGTAACAAGGGGCCAAGTTTGGAATGTTGCACAGCTATCTCTTGATCTCGCTCACTGTAACAAGGGGCCAAGTTTGGAATGTTGCACAACTACCTCTTGATCTCACTAACTGTAACAAGGAACCAAGTTTGGAATGTTGCACAGCTATCTCTTGATCTCGCTCACTGTAACAAGGGGCCAAGTTTGGAATGTTGCA